TCCTGTTTCTGGCATTGTTAATCGCCATAATGTGCGCATATGGGGATCTGAAAACCCCCGTGAATACTGTGAGATACAAAGGGATTCCCCAAAGGTTAATGTGTGGTGTGGACTAATGCACAACAAAGTCATTGGGCCTTTCCTTTTTACAGAAAAGACGGTCTTATCAGTCGTATACTTAGATATCTTGGAAAACTTCGTATTTCCATAACTAGAAGAGTTTTAGCCACATGTCTTTTTGCAACAAGATGGTGCACCACCTCATTGGGGTATCATCGTTCGTAGTTCTTTGAATGGCCATTTTCCAGGAAGATGGATTGGGCGAGGAGGTATTGTGGGTGGCCACCATTCCTTGGCCACCCAGATCACCTGATATAACGCCGCTGGACTTTTTCCTTTGGGAATTTATAAAGGACAATGTTTACTGGAGGATCGTGTCGAACATTGATGACCTAAAAGCCAGAATTACAACCGCAATAGCCTCTGTGGATGCCGACATGCTTGCCGCTACCTGGCGTGAAATTGACTATCGACTTGATATTCTCCGTGCGACGAAGGGGGCACACGTGAAAGTTCATTGACAAGGGTCATGAAACTTTTTGAGTCTATATAACCATTTATGTTATTAATTTTAATCTATCTTTATTATTTTATGAGTTATTAAACATCAAAATGGGTCCGGGACTTTATGAACATCCTGTATATTATTTACAGAGTCAGAATTATTTCACAAAATGGCAATTCGATTAATTGTAAACTTAATGAGACAACTATCGATGTTAGAAGGGACTATGATCTTCATTTATAAAATGTGAGGTGTTTTACCAGAAAAACAACTTACAGGGTGAGCAACATGTTCAGATTTGGCACTAAAATCCAGCACATGCGCATAAGAAGAAAAGTGACGTCAATTGTGATTGCACGATTGGGTGCGATGCTTCCCACCAACCACCATTTCATTCAAAATAATGAAATGGTGGTTGGTGGGTATCTATGTCAAAATATTTTAGAAGATTTAATCAACATTGATGACGTATTCTCAAGGAAATATTTTAAGTAATAGTACTGTACTGTTTACCAATAGTGTAAAAATACAGAACAAACCAAAAATAAAAGAATTCCTCCTGGTTTTTTTCTCCTCCTCCGTAGTGGTTGGGACAAGAGAATGGTGCGTTTCAAGAACCTCTGCTTTACCCCTAAATGTTGTTTATTCCTTTATAAGCAGGAACCACACCTAACCTTTGGGGACTGGTTTACATTATGCCAATGAAAGCTCCTCTCCCATGTATATTCATTGCTAATACTTCTACAACAGAAATTTATCTATGGTAAGAACTCCCTCTGACTGTTCTGAAAAAGTTAGTTTCAGATTTCTTCTAGAAAACTATATTCGTTGTATGAACAAGGGCAGTAGGGGATCGGGGGGCAATTGCCCCCTTTGTCGGGCATGGCCAGCCCCCCCCCCCCATCGGGAAATATTTAGAGTCTCGTCTGGAAAATAGCCTGGTCACATTTTTTTCGAAATAATGTCAAAAATTCATTTACAAATGCCTAATAAAAATTTTTGTTGTTAATTTTTTATTTTTTATTTTTAAGAATTACTAACAAATATTAGTAAAATATATTGTAAATTCTATGTAATTTTAGTTTCACTGCACTACTTGTAATTTTGCCCATACATTGTTAAACTAGAGACCGGATGCGATTAGACATGGTTGAAATGGCGACTTTTCGAAGTCCCTTAGAAATCCTTTCCCACAGACCCATCTTCATGTTCTTGGAACAAAAGCCTGGGGACAGAAAGAGACGCAGGTCCTATTCTTTACAAATTCTTTTTTTATGTAATGTGATTATAATGGTTTATGGGATCAAATAATTGCTTTTTGAAATTTTCAAGTAAAATGAAAGTATAAGAAAAAAAAACATTTCCAATTTTTAAATTTTTTTTTTTTAATATGTACTTTAAAATGAGGAAAATCATTTACTTATTTGGATTCAAGGTTTATATTTTAATCAACGCAATAAATATGCAATCGGAAAAAAAGAAAAACAGTAACAATTTTTTTAAATTTATTATTTTTTTTATTATTGTCTTAGTAGTAAAAAGATTGTTGATTGATTCAGAAAAACAATTAAACTGTTTGTATTCTATGTCTTTAAATGTATATTAATCAACATAACAGATTCTCATTGACTTATTTTATGTACAGTGTATGAAATGGAAAAAGGGAACACCTTGATTAACTTTTGATTTAATCATATTTTCACGTACAAAGAGACGATACCATATTTTAAGTTACGAAAATGAACAGAAAAGCGCATTCTGTTCTGGATAAACTTACAAGTTTGTCTATAGTTTTAGGTTTTTAATTTTCATAATGCGGAAACAGCTGCAATCTGGAAGACATGGTCTGAAGTTATGGCAGAGAGAGAGAGAGAGTTGGAATGCTTGGATCCTTTAATTTTAACTTCACTCTTCGATTATAGCCCATTATCTCGAGAACTTTTTGAGTGTATTGAAAAATGTTTGCATAAAATTACAAGAAACATTTTATGCACAAAATTTTAAGCAAAATTAATTTTAAATAATTATTTGTTATTTTTTATTAGCTTATTAAATAGTAGTAAAATATATTGAATTGTATGTTCTACATATTTTTACATCCTTTTAATTTCAAAATACAAACTTTCAGTGCAATCGATCAATTAGTTTCTGAGTTATCAAATTTTAAAAATGTCAGTTTGCTTAAAATTTTATTTATCTCGAATTATTCAACCAATTTCATTCAAATTTTGTATTTTACAATTTAAAATTACCTTCCATAAAATTATATAAAAATTTGTATATCTTGCTATTTTATTTAATTTTACTTTATTTTATCCGTCGTTGAACAATCGACCCAATTTTCGGGTTTACGACTACTAATGTTCCAACTCCGTAGCCTTGTAATTTTGAACCAATCCAGAAGACAAGGAAACTCCTGGATAAGTACCCCCAGAGGTATTGATTTGTTGTGGGAACATGGAGGACTTTGAGACTCGACAGATTTAACGTGCATCAGTCACCATTTACTACACGGGGAGTCTTCGGCCGGCGAGGATCG